GCCGTAGACGTGTGTTTATTAGTCACGTTGAATCAATGAAAGCAGTTGAATCTTCTGTTTATTCAGCTGCAGCGATAGGCATTTTCTGGGTTTCTTCTGTGAGGCGTATTTGGAGTTTCAGCGCGAGAGCGCCCTCTGGCCTTTGGATGGAGATTTACTGCTGATCACAGAACCGTGCTTCACTGAAAGATACGCATGACAATCGCAGCTTCTGTCGAATCGCGATCTCGATTCCATTTCAATTTATCGTGCAGCCCTAGTTCTTTGGTCCTTACTCCCTGAGCATGGGAAATCTGTTGAAGTTTACTTCACTTCGGAACATTCATTCACTGTTTTGCGCTACGCCACGTATTTTGTTTGTCTCTCTTATTTAACATACACAGTGTTCTTTGCTCCCTACTCCTTGAGCAAGGGAAAGATTACTTCAATTTGGAACATTCATTCATGAAACTGTGCTATGCCACGGCCTGCAGCATCTTCACACACAGATGAAACTTACTAGAGAAGTGTGACATCATATACCTTTATAAATAAATACAATTTAAATTCACGTCACACACTTTTTTTAATGCCCTTTGAATGGAACGTATACGCTCCCTGTGATGTCCACTTCGCAGGCCACTGACGGTAGAATAGAACAAGCGTCTGAAGTGATAAGAGAAACATATAAAATGTGCAGAGCAGTGGTACGCGAGGACAGGATTTGAGAACCATTGGTCTATTGTATATATGTTATAATGCAAAATTCTATTCCGAACATGTTTTGCAGTCTGTGCTTGATGCAGTGTAACATGCTTGATGTTTGTCTCCTCTGTCAGCCAATCATCTTGGTGCTTCTGGATATCACTCCCATGCTGCCTGTGCTGGATGGGGTCGTCATGGAGCTGCAGGATTGTGCTCTTCCACTTCTGAGGGGTGAGGGTTACTTCTCTTGATTTAATCAGGTTAGACCTCATCACAGTGAATGATTATAATAGGACATCAGGTAGAGGAAGAGTGGTAGTGGAACAGTTTTCACTGGACTCTTAATTGACAGTTTGACTGCCACTGTCTCTTTGTACTGCAACTTGGTTTATTTATAGCCAGCATCTGGAATGTATTAAAATGCAAAGAAGACCGTCAAGGTACAAGATTGCAACAAATAATGCAGCTTGAAAACGTTTTGTGTGCAATTGATTTCTGATTTTCATGAGTTTTCTAGCCTCCGGCTTTTGATTTAGACGACACTGCGATAGTTCAAAGCAGGCCGAATCAATCACTGGTCAGTTTTTGGTGTTTGTTGTTCTGCCGTTCACTTTTCCTTTGCTTTCATAGGTGCTAGTTGTGGGAAACCCAGCCAACACCAACTGTTTGATCGCCTCCAAATCAGCTCCCTCTATTCCTAAGGAGAACTTCTCCTGCCTGACCCGTCTGGACCATAACAGGGCCCGCTCTCAGGTCCGAACCCCACCGCCTCATTCACCTTCACTTCTTATTCTGCTTTATTGAAGTTCTCTAACTCAGTCTTTGTGCTTTCCAGAGCTGCAGGTAACCAAGCTTTTTTATCGTCCATCATCCATATCTAGCTTAGTTCTAGAGTAGCCATATCTAGTTATGTACTCTGGAGTAGTTCATAGACCAATACAGTGACCTACTTTTAGAGGGACTGTTGGCTCTCTCTGCAGGTGACATAGTTGGCACATATTACACATAGGAGTGCTTTGCTCATCTGCGGTGTTCCTCCATGCCTGTAGGTGGCGATACGTGTCGGTGTGCCCTCTGACAGTGTGAAGAATGTGATTATCTGGGGAAATCACTCCTCAACTCAGTACCCAGATGTGCACCACGCTATCGTGAACAATCATGGGAAGGAGATGTCAGGTTTTGACGCAGTGAACGACGAAAGCTGGCTGAAGGGCGACTTTATCACTGTGAGTCCGACATCTGAACCTGTAGAGTTTCTAAACTGAGATAAAAAGGTGTTTTTTTGCAAGAGAAAATTAGATGAAGCGTACGTCTCAGTTTGCTGTTCATTTAATCCCATTTTTTTAATGAGTTTAATTGTGATTTAATCATCCCCAAGGAAAGAACAATGAAATTACTTGTTTGGCACATTTGCCCTCAGCAGGGCTTATAATGTTATTATAAAATGGATAGTTCCTCCATTAAATTCTAGTGCATGTTTGAAGCGTCTGAAAAAAGCTGACGAATGCACCTAATATTAATGCATCAAGTTTTGATTCATTTCTTAGCAACCATAAACAACTGATTTGCAACAATTTTTTTATTATTATTAATAATAAATTGAACTCTTGCTAAAGATTGTTTTATGCCGCAATGCAAAGATTTGTGGTAAAATCACTGTTAAAGTGCGGTCACATTTATCGTTGTTAGGCAAGTTTCCATGGAAATCTGCACAATCTAGAATTTTGCGTGAAGGCGAAAGTTTTCCCGCTAAATCAGATTCACCACATTTACCAACAGAAAGCTGCTTGCTTTGAAAGTGATTTCTGTGTGAGCTGTGCCTCATACATCTCTACGCTATTGATAGTAGACAGTGGACCTTTTTTTACCCACAAAATTTCACTGTATTGCTCTTAATTGCCCTGATATGACCACAGCTTTACACATGACCTTTTGTAGCTTATTGTTTTAATTTACCAATCTGTTTTTCTTTTAATTTTGTTGTACACCAGACGGTGCAGCAGAGAGGTGCAGCTGTCATCAAGGCCCAACACCAACTGTTTGATCGCCTCCAAATCAGCTCCCTCTATTCCTAAGGAGAACTTCTCCTGCCTGACCCGTCTGGACCATAACAGGGCCCGCTCTCAGGTCCGAACCCCACCGCCTCATTCACCTTCACTTCTTATTCTGCTTTATTGAAGTTCTCTAACTCAGTCTTTGTGCTTTCCAGAGCTGCAGGTAACCAAGCTTTTTTATCGTCCATCATCCATATCTAGCTTAGTTCTAGAGTAGCCATATCTAGTTATGTACTCTGGAGTAGTTCATAGACCAATACAGTGACCTACTTTTAGAGGGACTGTTGGCTCTCTCTGCAGGTGACATAGTTGGCACATATTACACATAGGAGTGCTTTGCTCATCTGCGGTGTTCCTCCATGCCTGTAGGTGGCGATACGTGTCGGTGTGCCCTCTGACAGTGTGAAGAATGTGATTATCTGGGGAAATCACTCCTCAACTCAGTACCCAGATGTGCACCACGCTATCGTGAACAATCATGGGAAGGAGATGTCAGGTTTTGACGCAGTGAACGACGAAAGCTGGCTGAAGGGCGACTTTATCACTGTGAGTCCGACATCTGAACCTGTAGAGTTTCTAAACTGAGATAAAAAGGTGTTTTTTTGCAAGAGAAAATTAGATGAAGCGTACGTCTCAGTTTGCTGTTCATTTAATCCCATTTTTTTAATGAGTTTAATTGTGATTTAATCATCCCCAAGGAAAGAACAATGAAATTACTTGTTTGGCACATTTGCCCTCAGCAGGGCTTATAATGTTATTATAAAATGGATAGTTCCTCCATTAAATTCTAGTGCATGTTTGAAGCGTCTGAAAAAAGCTGACGAATGCACCTAATATTAATGCATCAAGTTTTGATTCATTTCTTAGCAACCATAAACAACTGATTTGCAACAATTTTTTTATTATTATTAATAATAAATTGAACTCTTGCTAAAGATTGTTTTATGCCGCAATGCAAAGATTTGTGGTAAAATCACTGTTAAAGTGCGGTCACATTTATCGTTGTTAGGCAAGTTTCCATGGAAATCTGCACAATCTAGAATTTTGCGTGAAGGCGAAAGTTTTCCCGCTAAATCAGATTCACCACATTTACCAACAGAAAGCTGCTTGCTTTGAAAGTGATTTCTGTGTGAGCTGTGCCTCATACATCTCTACGCTATTGATAGTAGACAGTGGACCTTTTTTTACCCACAAAATTTCACTGTATTGCTCTAATTGCCCTGATATGACCACAGCTTTACACATGACCTTTTGTAGCTTATTGTTTTAATTTACCAATCTGTTTTTCTTTTAATTTTGTTGTACACCAGACGGTGCAGCAGAGAGGTGCAGCTGTCATCAAGGCCAGGAAGCTCTCCAGTGCAATGTCTGCTGCCAAAGCCATCTGTGACCACATGAGGGACATCTGGTTCGGCACTCCAGATGTGAGTTTGCACCACATAAACCCTTTAGAGATTCATTGAGTGTCTGGACTGTTAGATTCTGGTTTAAAGTAGAGTGGAAGACTAAAACATTTCTCGTTTTTCTTTTGTCAAGAATACTTCGTCAAATTTCTAAGGCCTCGAAATCAGCTTGATTAACACTTTGCTGAAAATCTGCTGTACACAATGTACCTCAGATTGATAGTTTATACTTTTTTAGCAAGAAAAAGGCCTTTTAGTTTTGTAAAAAATTTCAACAAATTATTGACAATTATTTCATTATTTCATATGTCAGGTTTACAGGATTAATGCTAAATAATTCTCTTTCTGTCTCTGAGCAGGGTGAGTGGGTGTCTATGGGTATCTACTCCACTGGTAATTCCTATGGAGTTCCTAATGACCTCATGTACTCCTTCCCTGTTATGATCAAGGTTTGTCTTCATCGCTAAGTTCTAAGTTCCTAAAAAACACTGAAATTAAATCATGAATAAAAGAAAGCACTTGGAAGTAGTTTAGATGTCGTTTCTATGTCAGTACTAATAATTTCCACCCCAACAGAACAAGACCTGGAAGGTGGTTGACGGACTCGCCATCAATGATTTCTCCCGCGGTAAGATGGATGGCACCGCCGCTGAGCTGGTAGAGGAGAGAGACACAGCACTCACCTTCCTTGGAGCGTGACTTGATGTCTCCACAACAATGCGGCAGCCGTTAGACTCTTCAAAGTCCCCAAATCCCCGACTGTAAAGTCCTGTAGATATCATAGCTGACCGTGTGTGGATATTTATGCCTCTTAACGTATGCGTGTGTGCGTTACTTCACAAGAAACATTTGCAATGTAACTTCCTCTGCTTGGAGTGTCTGGCGCAACACCTGAAGAACATTTCCAATTAAAACCGTTACGCACATAGTTGTCCTGACCAAAATAATGATCATCTGTCATACAACAATAAAAGACCATGTGGGAAATAAATGTTTGTTGTGTATTTGGATTATGTTGACATACCCATCTCATCTCCAGCTCTGAATACACAGATATTCTGTAGATGTGAATTTATTTACCTAAAGGTATGAAGATCCTTCATTGTAGACAGCATGCCAGGCCTGTTTACTTGGAAGAAAAACATTGAATATCCTGGAATTTTAAACTTATTATTTGAAAGCCTAGAAGCTTGAATATAAAATATGGTAAATATTTTCGTAATACTTGTCTAGTAATAAAGAAGTACTGGGAAATGATTTGTTAAGTCTGTGAGATGTGATTATAACGGTCATAATTATAACTAAAGTTTGGAACTATGCCATAACCATCGAAATTATGAGGTTTTGTTAACTTCGACTTTTATGGCATCATTTCTACCGCTTATGTGCATTTCGCCTTTTTCCATCTCGTAAATATAACCTAGTATGTCCTCATTTCAATTGTTTTAGTCATAATTATGACTGGTAAATTATGATTTATCAAAGTATGATTTTTTTTTCTTATGTAGCGAAAAGGGGCTTTCATATAAACCTGTATAATTGCCATAGACTAATTAAACGCACTCTCGATTGTTTAAAAGTAAAAAAGATAAAAATATGGAATAAAAATAAAAGCGTATTTGTTTACAACCACAACCAAGAGATGACGCTGTTTCACATATTTACGCAGTCGAACGCCATCAACGAATAGAACGCAATTTACTGGTATTTGATTGGTCGAGCCGGACCGCCCCCTCCTCTGATTGGTCCGTGAACAAAGATCATACCCACACACCGATTTCATGCGATACTTCCGCGCGTATAATTGCCATAGACTAATTAAACGCACTCTCGATTGTTTAAAAGTAAAAAAGATAAAAATATGGAATAAAAATAAAAGCGTATTTGTTTACAACCACAACCAAGAGATGACGCTGTTTCACATATTTACGCAGTCGAACGCCATCAACGAATAGAACGCAATTTGCTGGTATTTGATTGGTCGAGCCGGACCGCCCCCTCCTCTGATTGGTCCGTGAACAAAGATACCCACACACCGATTTCATGCGATACTTCCGCGCGTGAAAGCGTGTGCTGCAGTGGACGTGAGTATCCTCGCATGGCTTGTCAAAAATGAGCAAGCACGCCTGTCTGCTGTCTAGATGTACTTGAGTATGATAGTTCCCCAACCCCTCAAAACCCCGCGCTGTGCGCTTGTGTTTGCTTACAAGGGGTCGGTGACCTAGGAGTTCTTGTATGGCAAAGTTCATGACAGATTTAATCCTGGTTTCTGTGACCTTGGGCAGACAGAAGCAGTTAGTTAGGTCTGTACATACATTACCCCCTCATACATTAACTGTGTGCTGCTTTCAAACTTGACATTTAATATTGCGTTCAAAAGTGCTAGAAGAATTGCAAAGCGGCTAAAACAATCAAGTGGTAAAATGGCTAACGCTTGGGGTCAGCTGGCTTGCTGCAACGTATAATAATAACAAACTATTTTTTTCTGTAAAGCTACTTGGCAACGATTTGCATCGTGAAAAGCGCTATACAAATAAACTTGAATTGAATTGAATATAGTTTATTGGCCTAAAGGTCTGTCCACACCAAGGACAACTATAACGATAAAGATTTTAAAATTCGTTCTAAATGTGAAAGAATCGTAGAGTCCGCATCCTAAACAGCACAGAGGAACTATATATATATATATAAACTAGCTAATTAATGATTAAAATATTGACAACCAATCAGAATCCTTCCTGCTTTAAAGAGCTCGAGCATTTAAACCGGCAGACGGCATAACCTAATTAACAAAGTTATCGAGCGTTGTGTGTTTTTTGAAGAAGAATTCGTCCGTTCTGCATTTTATTCAGTGGAAGGAGAGAAAGGGGTGCAATTACGAACTGTCAGACGACCAGAAATAATAAAAAAAAAATTATGAGACTTTGTTTCAGTGAAGTTCTGGTAAAAAAAAGTTTTTAACAAATCGGATTCACTTAGTTAACGAGCCATTTAACCATCATAAAGGGTCGGTAAACGAGTGTTTTAGTGAAATGACTCGCGTTCGAATCGCTAGAATGAATCCCAGTGAAATTGTGATTCAAAATCCCCACAAATTACAGCAGATGGACCCAAGAACGCTTTCTACTGCATGCGGACGCCCTTAAAGTATCTAAACCCTGTGTTTTTAATTAATTGGATTCACATAGTAACGATTTAACCCACAGAAAGGTTTAGTAAACGAATCTTTTGCGTGACCCAATTTAAAAGCTTCGAGTCATTGAATCAAAAATCCCCACAGTTACAGCAGATGGACCCAACAACGCGTTCTACTCTCATACAGTCTATGGTTCTACTGTATGCGAACCTCAAGTAGCCTCATAAACTCGTTGTTTTTAATGGATCGTGTTGATTTCGTGAACCACAGTAAGGTTAAGTCCCCGACACCATACCAGAAACGGACTCAAAACGCGTTGCGTGCGAACGTCCAACGCGCATGACAGAAATAACGCGTCTGGTGTCAGCAGCGTCCAGTTGGTGCTGTACGTGACAAAGCGATGTGAGTTGATTAATAATTCACCTGGCACATTACATACAGTGTCTACAAGAGTTGTTCACTGTTTCTGGACATGTTGACTTTTTCCCGAGTCCGTGACGTGACGGGTGGGCAGTGCTGGACTTGTTAAAAGACTCGTGCGCTCTTCTGCTTCTCTCGCTGCGCATCTCCTTCAGCGGTGCGTTACAACGCTCTGATCGGATGTCCTGTGCATGAATCTGTCTGAAATCTGATCTGACTTCAAAAGAGCCGAGGCGGTACTGAGGGTTCGGTTCGAGCTCGGATGCTGGGAGCTGGTTGCACGGTTTTGAACACTAGTCTTAGTAGTTTTTCCTTTTTTATATAGTAGATCTGAGGTTCTCAAAGCGTCTTTTTGACTGCTGCCTCTACATTGAGACAGTTGTAGTTTCATCTAGTGCAAAAGTAGAAACTGTTCAACGGTATTAGGCTGGTGATTCGACCTTTCTGGACTGGTGAAATCAATTCAGGATTGATATATACTGTTTTTTTAAACCTGAGAGCTGTCAGAAGTTTATTTTTTATTTTTTTAAACATGTCTGTTGTTGCTGGTAAGTGGTGTCTTCAGCCTTACAAAAAGTACTGTTGTAGTATACAGTATACCAGTCAAAATATTGGAATAATCTTTTTTTTTTAAATGTTTTTGAAAAGTCTCATGCTCACCAAGGCAGCATTTGTTTAAACAAAAATACAGTAAACATATTGTGATATTTTCAATTTAAAATTGCAATCAATTTAATTACATTTTTTTAATTCTATTTTAATTTTTAATTTTCAAGTAATATTTAGAAATATAGACATATTTCCTATTTAAATATGTTTTAGAATGTAATTTATTCCTGTGATGCAAAAGTGCAATTTCGCATTGTTACAGTGTCACATGATCCATCAGAAATCATTCTAATATGCTGATTTGCTGGTAAATTATCAATTAATATTGGTGCTCAATTATTAATAATAATAAAAGTTCAATAATAGTAATAATAGTTCACAATATTACTGTATTTATTGTGTTTTTGATCAAATAAATGCAGCCTTGGTGAACATAAGAGATTTGTTTAAAAAAATATTCTAATTCTAAATATTTAAAAATATTCTAAGACGTTCTAATTGTTCCAAACTTTTGACTGGTTGTTTACATTAATTCCTTAAATTATACTCCCAAGTCACTTCAGAAAACCAAAAACCATGTTGGAACGAAATAGTGAATGACAATAATCACCAGTTGCAATGTCATCACTGCATTTAAAGTTGTTGTCAATGTTTTCTTTCCCTGTGTTTGCATGTGTGTGTAGATCTGTATAGAAACAGCCCTAATGCAGGGATGGTGGAGTTTCAGGAGAAGCTGAGATTGCAGCATGAGAACTCCATGCACACAGAGCTGGAGAAGCTGCTGACCACTGCCAAGCCATCAGAGGCGGAGGTAAGACCCTTGTCCTGCAAACTATGTGCTCGGCTGAGGTGACAAGCACGTTCCAGTGGTGCTTCTGTCCTTGACTCCATGTACATCTAAACCCCAGCTCATGCATGTTTCCTAATATATCACTGCACACACGTTTACCTAGCCGAATGGGAACATGCTGTAGACATACAGTGCTTTAAAGTAATGTTAATCATGTGATGCTAATTTTTGTCTGGATCTATTAAATAATTCAAGAATGTTATAAATGCAAATCATGCAGACAGTATGACAGAACAATCCCCATAACTGTATGTCATGCCCAGTATGTTTTTATTTTATTAATGAAATAATCAATTTTTTAATGAATTTTTACCTTTAATTTTTTTTGTTATATAATGGTTATGATGTGTGCCGCATCCTCACTTGTATTCATGGTATAAGGAAAATATTTTTAGACATTTTTTAAGCCATTAAATCAAATGCATTGTCTATTTTGAAATTAGTATGAATCTTTTTCAACAATGCATGTAACTAACATGCATAAACATGTTCATATATTGGTACATGCATTTTAAACGGGATTAAAAAAAATATCAGAAGACATTGTTATTTGTCATTGACCCACTAATATTTGCTTACAAAACTAATTTGGAAATGAACTGAGACTGATGCACAGATTGGAAAACTTTATCATTCAGCCAAGTTTGAGTTGTTTATTCACAATGAAACTGCTGTTAATGTGAGCAGTTATGACACACGCAGCATGCAGTTAGTCTCATTAATTAGTTTTTATGCAGCAGCCCATGAAATGGTGACCTAATGAAGGAGGTGTGTGTTAATTAGAGCCTATCGGCCCATGATGCAGCACCAGACTCTTCAGAGTATTAATTATGCTTATATGCTGCACAGTGTTATACAAGAAATTAGGGATTTTGATTAATCACACTGACATGTGTTGATTCAGATTCAGCTCTAAAGCATTTAATTAATTTAATAAACCATTAACTAAAAATAAAATATTCCAGGTTTAATACAA